AAAGGGCAATGCAGTTATAACAAAGTGGGTGTATTTATATCTCAGTCATGCTCCCATCTTTCTGAAAAATGCTTACTGTCAACATAAAGTATAAAAAAAATGAGTCTTTGACCCCTCTTTTTAAAGCATGAAATATGTTTGTTTGAAAAAGCAATTTTAGTATCTGTGCACACCTTATCTGAGGTGAATAAACACAAAAATTTCCTTAAAATTTACATGACCGCACATCAATACAATAAAATACAGACCCAAATGGACACCTTAGAAAGGGTTTTGATATTTTGATAATAACTTTATTTTTTCATGGCAAGGTTGACATTTGCATGGAATCGCCCTTAATTCAATTAGTTCATCATATAAAGCGATCATGTCTCTTCAGAAAATTTGGACTAAACCACTCAATTCATATGGATTAGTTTTACGATCACTTTTTGCTTGGCATACTGTACCTTTATGGCTGTGTAACTGTAATTGTTTTCTAGGCCATGACTAAAAGAGAGGATCTTGTTGTTGCTCCTGCTGGTGTCACACTGAAAGAGGCCAATGACATCCTGCAACGCAGCAAAAAAGGTGAGAACACCCAAACACAAACCATAGTCATCAGATGCAATTGTACTCCATTTAACTGAATTATAAAAGTATCAAATTTGTACTTCTAGCCCTTCGGACCAATTCCAACCACAGGAAACTGTATAAAATGTAGTATTTAACCATTTTAAAAGTTCTCAAAAGGTTGTATTTGTTTACTTGTACAGGTAAGCTGCCCATCGTGAATGACAAGGATGAACTGGTGGCCATTATAGCCCGCACAGACCTGAAGAAGAACAGGGACTATCCTCTGGCCTCCAAAGATTCTCGCAAACAGCTGTTGTGTGGTGCCGCCATCGGCACCCGTGATGACGACAAATACCGTCTGGACTTGATCACGCAGTCTGGGGTAGATGTAGTGGTTCTGGTAGGTCAAAGCCACTGACGTTGTTATAAAGGAAACATCAGTCTTTCTGCCACTGTAAATTCAATCCGGTGCTACGCGTTGGTTTCTTAAAGGAGAACTCCGGTCAATTTTAACATTGAGCTCATTTTTTTGTACATTTGGAGTGCTGTCAGTACAGACAAAAACGACAAAAATCGGTGTTGCCTACACCGTGTTATCCTCTTTTTAAAATTTGCACCCTGTTGACTTCAATGGGGCAAGTTCTAAACCTGCTTTTAGCCTCTTAACATCCTTGATTTGTCATTACAAGTGCACAGCCACGTGAGTGGTGTTATTAAGAGTGACCACGGTCAATCTGACTGCAGTAGATGTGAAAGATATTAATAAAAATTATGTTAATTCAGCCAGCTCACATACCTGTATTTACTTCCTGTTTTCATTCGAAGTCCACAGTAGTCGATTGTCGAGTTCGCGCGCGCGATCATTGGTAACTAATGATCGCACGCGCGAACTCGACAATCGACTACTGTGGACTTCGAATGAAAACAGGAAGTAAATACAGGTATGTGAGCTGGCTGAATTAACATAATTTTTATTAATATCTTTCACATCTACTGCAGTCAGATTGACCGTGGTCACTCTTAATAACACCACTCAACATAGCTGTGCACTTGTAATGACAAATCAAGGATGTTAAGAGGCTAAAAGCAGGTTTAGAACTTGCCCCATTGAAGTCAACAGGGTGCAAATTTTTAAAAGAGGATAACACGGTGTAGGCAACACCGATTTTTGTCTGTACTGACAGCACTCCAAATGTACAAAAAAAATGAGCTCAATGTTAAAATTGACCGGAGTTCTCCTTTAATGCTTGAAGGGGGATTATCTTCAAGATAAAAGTAAAGCCAAAACTGTTGGACATTATTTTGGTCTCTCAATTAAATGCGAAGTGTTAGGTATCTGCGCCACTAGCATCACTGCGGTATATCGTTTTTATTTGGGTTTTTTTAGGATTCGTCACAAGGCAACTCTGTATACCAGATTAATATGATCCATTACATCAAGCAGAAGTACCCAGAGCTGCAGGTTGTGGGAGGAAATGGTGAATATAAGATTATATTACTACAATAAGCAGTTGCTCTCTTTGGTTCCCTCTGACTTCAGTCTCTCTCTCTCTCTCTCTGCAGTGGTTACGGCTGCTCAGGCGAAGAACCTGATTGACGCAGGCGTGGATGCGTTGAGAGTGGGAATGGGCTGTGGTTCAATCTGCATCACACAGGAAGGTTGGGAGTTAATCTCACACACATACATTCAACATATTACCCACATGTTGCCTGGGATGCAAACTGGCAAACCCCTAGGGGTGTATGGGCTTAATTTTAGTAAAATATCAGCTTTAAAATGTGGATTTACAGTTGATTTCAGCATGAGGATTTAAAAACTTACTGAAGAGTGTCCATCTGTTTCCCGTAGTTATGGCATGCGGACGACCTCAGGGCACCTCCGTGTATAAGGTGGCGGAATATGCTCGAAGATTTGGGGTGCCGGTCATCGCAGATGGTGGCATCCAGACGGTCGGCCATGTGGTGAAAGCCCTGTCCTTGGGGGCATCGACAGGTAATTGTTGCTGGAGTTCACTTTTAACAGTTAAAGGAAAAAAATAAACCATGTCTGTTTACATGAAACAAATGTATTCTATCTGCAGTGATGATGGGATCTCTGCTGGCCGCCACCACAGAAGCTCCAGGCGAGTATTTCTTTTCAGATGGGGTGCGACTGAAGAAATACAGAGGAATGGGCTCACTAGATGCCATGGAGAAGAACACCAGCAGCCAAAAACGATACTTCAGGTGTGTGGTAGTGTGTGTTTGTGTAGTACACTGTTCACTGGACATCAATTATTCAGTAATAGGAAGCAGAGAATGAAATACTATCTTAATACTGCGCTGCATACAGCCTGCTGTTCTTAACACAAATATTATGTGACTCAGTGTGCAGTATATGATATATAATCATTACATGACCTTTCTTTCTGTGTGCTGATTGGCTGTCTTGGCAGTGAGGGTGATAAGGTGAAGGTGGCTCAAGGAGTTTCAGGCTCTGTGCAGGATAAAGGCTCAATCCATAAATTTGCCCCATACCTCATTGCTGGAATCCAACACGGCTGCCAAGACATTGGCGCGAAAAGCCTCTCTGTGCTCCGGTAAGTATGTGTCCGTGTTTTATTGTGCATTTGGTTTGTTTTTATGCACTATAAAAATTCCTACACTGTTACATATTTAGTTCCATGATGTATTCTGGAGAGCTGAAGTTCGAGAAGAGGACCATGTCTGCTCAGGTGGAGGGTGGTGTACATGGACTTCACTCGTAAGTCACCAGAGGGTGCCAGTGCTCAACATCACCTTCATATGTCAAAGCTAAGATCAGTATCACTCTCTGAAACGATTTTCTTTTGTGTCCATAGTTATGAGAAGCGTCTTTACTAATGGAATGGGCAGAACACGGATGGGAAGCAGTGATCAAACACCTCAGACAAATCCTAGGACTTACCCCACCCTGCCAGCACCCCTTCTCTGCTCTTCACCGTTCCTCAGGCACAACCACCACAGTGAGAGATGGAGAAGAGAAGTATTAAATGAGTTTGAGAGCAAGACCTCAAACGAATTCAATCCCCCAAAACATGGCAGTTGCACTCGAGGGAGCATCAGGGTTGCCAAAAAGCTGCCTGAGTGTGGGTTTTTGCATCTGTTTATGAGCAGATCGGTAAAATCAAGGCGGTATTTGGAGCGAATGTTATTCAAAGCCTTTTTTTTCTCTCCCAAACTTGATTCGACCATGTTGCAGCATCAATTTCTATATCTCCATATCCACCTGCAAAATGATGACAGCTGTGAAACCAAGTGCTCCAGCTATACTTGAGGCAATCTTTTCTTTAGTAGATTTGTAACTGCTGAAGATGCTATATGATATGTTTTATTTTCGAAGGCAGAAAACAGATGTATGTAGAAAATTGTCAATTTTGTGATGGTTAATTGTCTATTGTACTATCAGTGAGACAGATCTCTCTATGTCCACATTACCGGGTCCTGTAACTGGGTACGATTTATATTCAAAATAATTTGACCAAAACCGATATCTGTAGATATACATAGTTGCTCTGAGTGTCATGCATTGTGTCTGGATTATTTTTTACCAAAAAGCTGGAACAAACTGGGTTTGTTGATCAAGGTCAGGTAATGATGGCTGACTTATAATGTAATGCAGGCTGACTTATAATGCAGGCTTTTGGGAATTTAACAAGGAATACTGATAATGGGATCTATGTTATTGCAGTTGTGACTCTTTGAGTGCAGAACAGGTATAAGAGTTTTAATTCGCATGCTTTTTTTAATAGCCAATGTTTCTATTACTTATACAACTGTCAAGTGCATTTTTTTTTTGTCGCTAACTGACAATTATTCTTCTATAAAAGCCAAATAAATGCTGTGAGTATCCTGGTCCTCTCTCAGGATATGTTTGTCCATGTCATCTAAACATTCCCTACAGCTTTGCATTTTGGGTGAACCTGAGACATGAATTGTATTGTGTAATAAATGGACACATTTGTCTTAACCCAAAACACGCCACTTGTGCTTGCCAGATCCTATGGCTTCATATAATTATCACTGCCAAATGAAGCATGTCATCCATATGAATTTAAAAGTGTTTTTGTAATACGTTTTCAGTACTATTTGTTTTGCATTTTCCACTAGAGGATTTTTTTTTGTTTAGAAATCATGCATTCTTAGCATTGGATGTGTGGACTATTATCCACTCTGTATAACATTCTCAGTATGACGATGTACAAAAACATGGTTTGCATCCTTTAATCAACTGGATCTTGCTTGTTAGTATGTTGCTTTGCCCACAGTCACAGTCTTGACAACTCAAGAGCCAAGTTTGTTTACCGCAGTGTACTCAAGTGAGGTTGCTTATCCTGTTCAATATTATTGAAAATAAATAAAAATTAACTTGCGCCGTTTTTTTTTTTGGTTTGCTTTATGTAAAATATTTCTGCATGGGACAAATGTCAATTTTCAATATATTTATTGAAAATCTTCAACAGCCTCTAAATGACTAACATTAGATGTATCAGCAGTTTCTCACATAGTTCATGTTTTCAGAACATGCACACTATAAAATGTACAAAGTCACTTTTCTTCATTTTAATATGTATTGAGTAACAGTGTTACGAGTATTTGAAAACGATGTAAACCTGGCAGCTTATTCATTAAGTGTAGTTCATATCAAATATACACTATAAGCAGGATAAAATGGCAGTCTATAGCGCAGTTTGACGTTATCAGCAGAGTGTGTTGCAAGAGTACTTTCATCCTTCTCTGACTCTTGAAAGAGAAGTTTTTTTCCTCTCTGTTGATAAAACTGTTTAGGCCCTCAACATAATAATGCATTGTTACAAACAAACAACAGGGACTTGAAGTTACCTGTGCAACCAAAGACTAGAAGCACAAAGACCTTTTCTAAATATTTAAAATTATGAGATTATAAAATTGGATTTGGCAGGTTATACAGCATTTAATTTGAAACTATTTTCTGATGCTATAGTCCATATGATTTGTTTTACAGTATGGTTATCAGTAGTTTGCACTCTCACAGTATTAATCATATAAACCAAAAAGGGATTTTGTACAAATTCATACAAACATCACTATTAGCATTGAAAAGTTGAAGTTCTGAAACACTTTTTTTTTTTTTTTTACAATTACAAATTTATCAATAATCAAAAAACCTTTGTACAAAATCCGTCTAAGCTTCTGGCAATCGATGGCACTTCTTAAACCTTTACAAGGATATTGACTTCAGAATCCATCTCTTTGGAGAACTTACCTGACAAACCAACAAGCACCTCTACAAAATGAAACATTTGGCACAGTTCTGGTCCACAAAACATTTTTCCTGTATGTCTACATAGAGCAAATGTGTTTTGACACCTTGGAAAACACTCACCAAATCACCTGAGCTGCACATTACTTTCCCATCACATCACTGAAACTCTTTTGGCATCATCATATTACATCATTCGGTTGTGTCTGAAAGTAAAGGTCTCCCCCTAGAGGTCAATAGTCTCACTGCAGATGCTAAGAGCATCAATCTCTCTGCACACACTGATAAATTCTTCTTGGACAGACTGGTCAAACTCTGATTGCTGGTCCAGACTCTCCTCTGACTTTAATGTTCTGTAGGGTCTCTGTAAGCTTCCCACTTGGTGGCTGGAACCCCCACTGAGGGTAGAGGGTGGTGGATGGTGTCCTTCTGGACTAGAGCACAAAATCAGAGATGATCCACCCAGAGACTGTCTGTAGAGGGAACAGGAACTGGAGCTGCCTCTCCAGTGCTCTGGAGATGAGCAGCAAGTGGAAGATGACAGTGAGGGAGATGGAGATGGAGGAAAACCCAGTGATGGACCATCTGGTTGGGCTTGAGAAGGAAGGGGAAATTGGGGTAGCACTTCCACACATGAAGATGTTCGGTATAAGCCTGGATCAGGAGTAAGGGTGTCTCTCAGGGTTTGGGCACCACTGGAGTTGGTCTCTCTACCATTCAGGCAGCGGTCACTAGAGGTGAAAGGTCGTAAGGGGCTGAAGATACTCATGGGAAATAGAGACTCACTAAACAGTGCCTCATCAATGCTTCGACGCAGATTTATGGGTGATGGAGGGCGCAGGTCTGCTGTGGAGTCGCTGGTACAGGATGAACCCACAGAAGGGGCACCAGTGTTGGGCAAGTCCAGGTCAAGGTCACGATAGGCCAATGCCCGATTGCTATGGTATAAAAGGTCAAGGCCATTCAAGCTGCTGAGACGGTCATCCACCAATGTGTACAAGGGTAGGCACTCCGTCTCTCCGTGCCCAATTGGATCGCAGATGGCCAGCTTCTCCTGCTGGGATAGAGTCCACTGGTAGCTCCCAGGAATGATAGGTGACTTTGCCGTAAGAAGATCTTTCCAGCAACTGCCTGGTTGGGGAAGATGATCAGAGCAGTAGACTGGTTGAGCAACTACCAGAACCAGTGTGAGGCAAACCACTGCTTCACACACTCGGCAGCTGAATTGGAAAGTCCACCACGGCCAAGGCCGAAAGGACTCAGCACTTCCAGCAATGCCGAGAGCATGCAGCATGGCATAGAGTTGTAGGCCCGCACAAGCTAGAGAGAAGACAGCAGAGAGTAGCACTGCAGCTGCTGCCCGGTCCCAATCTCGGCTTTCTGCAAATGGGCAGCGGTTGTAGCGTTCAGCTGGTGTCGGCGATGTGTTGTTCAGATGATAAATATGCTTGGAGTCAGCGCGAACGTAGCAGTAGAACACAAAATATGCAGCTGATAGGAAAGCTGCCAGAGCCACAAAGGCACCTCTAGAGATCAAGGACAGAAACAGGTAGACCTGCTGGTCAACATGGAGTAATGCAACAGGTCCAAAGGCAGCAGCAAAGTGCAGAAACACCAAGCAGGCCAGGAAACAAGGTCTTTGAAAGGCGGAATAGGATAGCTGCATACGAGAGCGCATTGACAGGAGCAGGAATACTAGGCCAAAGGCAGCAGTTATGCAGGGGAATGGTGCCTCGTAAAGTAACAGCGAGGCCTCTGTGGATGCCATGCGGTCCTGGTATCCGTAAGCATCGTACAATAGGGCAAAGGCCCTAGTGCAGCCAGCGGCCATCAGGCAGAGACTGACCAGAGCAAAGTAGCCACAGCCTGATGGGTACTGTAGGGGCAGGCACAGAAGGTTCAGGGTGGAGACCAAAGCGACTAGACAGAACACAGTGCCCAGGCCGTAAATGTGTGCTTCCCATGCTGAACCCCATGCTGCCAGGGCACTGTTCCAATCAGAATACAGTGCCACAAACATAGGTGGGGCTGGAAACAGGATTGGACTCTGAGAGAGGTTGGTGGAGACAGTGGTTGTGCTGTCATTTTTGCTGATGTTGCTCAGGACAGTGGTAGGCCAAGTGTCACTTGAACTGCAGATTCCAGAACGCTCCGCATTGCAGTCGGGGAGCGCAGATTCTTGAGTAAGGTCTGTGAGCCAGTCTTCAGACATAGTGGTGGGCATTTCTGAAATGAAAAGCATACGTATTGTATTATTAGTAACAGAAGATGTGAAGATTTATTAAGCGATATGTGTAAAGCATATTTTTTGATATAGTTTCTTAAAAGTGTTAATATTAGTGTCATGTAAGTGTTCTTCTTTAAAGTGGGGATATCATAAATCTCTTGATTCCTTTAATTGTTTTTTTCCTAGGGTTCACTTATAAATGTCTAACTCTTATCTCAAAAGAATGAGGAAAACTTGATTCCCCATGATATGACCAATTTAAATGTAAAAGCTGAATGTAAAGCTAGCTACATAAATCACATAAATAAACAAAGAAAATAATCTGTAGAAAACCGGAAAAGCTACTGGTAATTTCCAGTTTATGGACATTTATTTTAACCCTGAAACACAATGCAATGCAGAATTCAAAATATGGATAAAACACCTGTGGAAAAATAAATACAGAAAATTCCTTCGTACATTGGGCCCTATTTTTTACGGTGTATACAAAATGGTTATTCCAGCACAGACAACCAAGGCAGTCATTACTGTCACCAACATCTCTGACAACCTATGATTTGTTTTTCTGTGATAGACATCGCCACTAGAGGACATTTCTGAGGTGTCTGCACAGCTAAGCATGTTTCATAGTGGAAAACCATGGTTTAGCTGTTTAGATTCCCAAATCTGGTAAACGCCACATCTAATGTTTTTTTGAACATATGAAAGGAAACAGCTCTCAATATGATATTTCTAATGAGGAGAAAAACTATTATAAATTACAGTGGGAGGACATATTTGTCTAAGTAGCAGGGATCGGTGGGTTGCCATGAAACATCTGTTGTTGGTATATACATGTAATTGTGATTGGATTGTTAGATTCACAAATTGCTGTGGGAGGAGGCTGCTGTTTTAGGTTTTGGATTCTGTGGCTTGGCTCTGGTGCTGAGGAGTGTTACATACATTAGAGTTTCTTAGCCAAACAGAGTTGGAACAGCATGTGAAGTTCCATGTGACAGCTAGCCTGACTTCGTCATACTCATATTCTAGTCAGAATGTGAGTCTGATACTGCTTCATAGGGCTTTGATTATGAGGCGTGTCTTAACCGAACCAGGAAAAAAAAAACTCTGCACTCAATTGGATAGACCTACAACCAATGAGAGCAACGCAGTAAGTCAACTACTTTGCATAGCACAGTTGTCAACTACAGAACTCAAATGCACGCACGCTGGAAGAAGTAAAATAACGAGTGTTGCTTCTTTTACTTGGCCCTCTATGAGTGCGACCAAAGGAGAAACCACAACGAGCACAGGGTTTTCATTGCGTCCCATCTTCTTAGTTACCATCGGAGCCAGCTGATAAATTAAACTTTTGGCGAATCCCATAGGAAGGATGGCAAACACATCTTTCCGATCGACAAATGCGTTGATTGCAGTTCTATGTTCGTCTTTTAAAATGAATGCGCTGTCGATTTCTTTTACAACAGACGCGATAGCGGAATCTCTACATCTCAGTTCTCCAGCGGCAGTCATCTGTGAGGGAAACCAGTTCAACCCAAGCGCACTTTGATAACGTGAGGATTACGTCCCTGCAGATCATCTGTCCATCATCGTATAAAGCCCGCCCTGGCAATTTGATTGGCCCGACGATTTCTGAACCGATCATAATTACTCCTCAATGGAGCGAGTCCAGACCGAACTTCCCGATCAAAAAATGTTGTGGGCGGGGTTCGGGCTGGCATCCAGGCTATGTGACAGCCATTTGCAATTCTGTAAATGCTTCATAACGCTTACCAAAATTTTTCTTTGGAAGTTATGTACAAGTAATCCAAAAACAAGTCCTCAGATGAACTAACATCAACGTACAGCTTGTACACTTTATAGAAACCCACACAGGTTTGTTTGTGGCATCTACTGTGCCACTGTAAAATGTGATACGACATTCAAAACATTTAAATCCCCCTGCACAGGAAGGATTGCCCTGCTGTGCATTTGCAACTGATGTGCAAATCCATATGAGATGGATGATATTAGCTTCCACAGCCATATCAATTCTGTGCATAACAGTGTGCAGATGTACGTCTGCTCTTAAAAGACTGACACATCTAATTACACCCTTTTCAGAGCAGATGAGTCATAACTCATCTTAGCTGCCATGATCAGGCTTTCTAATAGACCCTGTGAGTTTACTGAAGCCCTAAGACAAAGCATGGAGGCAATTATACACAACGGGAGCCATTTGTGTACCTGTATAAATGCGTAATAAATAACTTGATGAATAGCTGATGCCAACTTTTACTATGTCAAATGAACACATTTTTCTAAAAAAACCAAACGATCGAGTTTAACCATTTGAATAAGGATGCCATTATTGCCCTATCCTCATCCCTGTTTTAACAAATAGGAATTGATGAAAGACATAAGACAAAAGGCAGGCATATTTTTCTCATTGTTTCTCATTTGTAAGGTCAACCAACCAATACATCATGTATGGATGTTGTTGAGTGCTGGTGAGACCCTGCCTCATATTGGGTTGCTTCTGTAGTCTTTTATATGCTGGTGGTGACAGACAATTTCCCGTTACACCCAGAACCAAATTAACTGCTTTATGACCTTCCTCCTTTTAAAAAAAGCATAGGCCTACGCAGAGACATAGGTCATTCCCAAAGATGGGTCTGGTATTTTTTGCACTAGTTTGGGCCGCTCTGGCTGATGACCACCACTTTGACTAAATATACACATTGTCCCAGACAGTGGTGAGCATTGGCTTCCATTTTTATGTCAAAAACCTATCTAGTGTTTCTTCTGATGGTGGGAGTAGATAATCAAACCTAACTGCCCTTGATTAATGGTAGCGTGTGTGTAACAGCCGCACACTGCTCATTAGATGCTTCTCTTTAATCAAAACCACCACAACAGTAACCACCAAGCAGCACTCATTAGATATATAGCTTGACATCGAGATGGCGTTTATCCACTTACATTAAATATAGGTTATACAGTCAAGTCCTCCTGTTCGCCACAAACTTTGGCTCATCGGAATACACTGACCTGATTTCTTTTCATTTCATTAACTGTCTGAAAGGATGTTCAACTCTGTATTTTTTATGCTCTATGTTGTTTGTTTATGAAAAATATCCATTCTTAATGTGTCTTATTGAAGCAGCATGAACAAAACAATTTCTGTCCAAATCCCACAAAGGCATTTTTGTGTAAACTGCTGAACCGAATGTGACGTACATACAAAAAGGATTTATTTATACAGAAATTTGATCTGGTTGTGTATTAATGAATAAGAGTTTATTATGAGTATATTGTATTGCTTTTTAATATATTGCTTTTGCTGCATTCTTAAGACAAAATAGACGCCCGACGCCGTTAATTCAATCTCCTCTTTTGATATTTGTATTTCCCTGGCCTCATATATAAATGTATGCTAAATTACGTTTTGCATCATTTGCTTAATAAAAACAACTTTAAAAAGTACATTTTTCAAAGAATACACTACAGTTTTCTACACAAAAGTTTAAAAGATTGCAAGTGACAGTAAATACTTTTACATTACTACAAAAAATAAATTCTATTTTAAATAAACTGAACTGAAACCTAAACATTTTTTAATCATGCTTTCCAGAAAAATGTTAAGCATCATAACTGTTTTCAACATTGATAATTGGAAATGTTTATTGAGCACCAGATCAGCATATTACACTGATTTCTGAAGAATCATGTGACTGGATTAATGGCTACTGAAAATTCAGCTTTTCCATCACAGCACTAAATTATATTTTAAAATATATTAAAATACAAAATAGTTGTTTTAATTGCAATAAATATTTCACAATGTTAGTTCTCACTGTATTTTCAGTACAAATATAATCCAATGTTTGCAGAAGACTGTACAACCAGTGTTGAAAACAAAATTAAAAATGAGGAGCCTGATTCATCCAATATATATTTTTGCTGACTGGCTAATTGTATATTTTTATTCATGCTTTGATAATTCATCATTTTTATCCGAAATCCTTGTCCTTGTGGGGACATTTTTTTTGGTCACCATGAGGAAAAAGGCATATAAATCATACTAAATTATGTTTTTTGAAAATGTAAAAATGCAGAAAGTTTTCTGAGATGGGCATGTTTAGGTATAGGGTTAGTGGAAGGGGATAGAATATACAGTTTGTACAGTATAAAAATCATTATGTTTATGGAATGTCCCCATAAAACATGAAAACACAACGTGTGCGCGTATTTGTATAAATAAGACTGAACAGAACGTTGAGCAAAAATAAATGAAATTGTTCTGTTTAAAAGACCAGCATTTAGCTACCAACTAGTCCAAAGTCAAACCAGTTTAGACCAGCATGGAAATGGAAATTAATGTTTGACTCAGCGTGGTGGTATCTGGTTTTCTAGACGCTATCAAATGTCAATCTAACTCGAATGAGATCTGGATGGCATGAAAAACAGCTTTAGTAAGGGTCCGTCCAGCTCTCTTGATGAGAATAATTTGAGTTTGATTAACTACAGGTTGTGTGCAGTGTGTCAATCTGACATGGAGAGAAAGTGTGTGATGGGCAGACACAGGAAGAGGGTGGCGAGAAGCACTGATAAGAGGGATTGTTGTGGCAGGAGCTTCAAACGTCCTCCCTCTTTATTTCCTTTCGCCCTTGTGTGCCCTCCACCCTTAGGATGTGGAAAATATTACTAGTGTATGGAAGCGAGCCAGAGTTTCAGTCCAGGAATCAATCAAATCTCAATGATCCTTATCCATGCAACAATGTTGCCACAATGGATGACACCCAGTTTGTGGATCTATCACAACAACACAGAACACAGGCATTTAAACATATGAGAAATTAAAGCCAAATTTCACATTATAACCCCATGAGGATTTTGTAACAATGTTGTTATGGTCATGCACTGTAAAAACTGGACGAGAGTTCAGCAGGAGGGAACAGGAAGCAGAACAAAGGCAAATGACTCCACTGATCCACATTGAGTTAGTGGGTATTCGACTCAAATGATAGGCAGGGTCTATTGTTGACTGTTCCACCCTGGGTGAGTCTATAAAGACGTCAAATTGTTTAGGTTAGACTACATTAGAGGTTAGAAAAACATTTTTACCCACAAAGTCTGTTCGTATGTGTTGTCACTCAACTAAATAGCTTTCATTTCATCAACCACTAACTTGGCCAGTAGTTTATCAATTAGCATGTTTTTGTGAACATGTATGGATTACAATGGCTGCCAATTTTGTTTCAGTCACTCTGTGAAGAGCCATTTATCTTGCCCAACAGAATTATAAACGGATATGAATCTTGATGCATAATTGCTGATGAACAACAGTGTTATTTTTTATATTTATATTTTTGATCAGTTATATTTTGATATTTTTTAAATTAAGTTTCAGTAATTTTGTGTTTTCATTTTATTAGTTTAATATTTGTGTTTAGTAATTTTAGTACTTCAAATTAAACTTATTGTTTCAGTACATTTCTTATTTTTAAGATTTAATTTAATATTTATTTTTATTTCAATTAATATTATTTAACAGCTGTTTTTAATAGTTTTTGTTTAAGTGAACAATAATAACACTAATGAACAAATTAGTAAAATGTCTAAATGCTCATGCTTAACTAGTTTGAGACAACTTCATACTTATATAGTTCATTTTGGCCACATCACATATCCTTCATAGAGAAGGCAATCCCAGAAAGCATTGTGAGTGATTGTTTTGATATAGCTTTGTCTACGTCATCTCGGATTCAATTTATTAGTATAAATAAAAATAGTTTAATAAAAATTTAATATTTATTTATTTGTGCTAGGCATTTTTTCCATTCAAAGGTGCCCTGCTTTGTATTTGACAGGCTGATCATTAGCTTAGCAACATGCTAACACCAATAACAACTCTATTAAAATCAGTTGCGACGAGTAGTATCTCCCATGTGGAGAGCTATTTGTGTGATGCTCTTTTTTGCACTTTATTAGCATACATTGATGTGTCTTAGCTGATTGAATCGCCCAAGACGGATATGAATACCAAGTGTAAACGGTTCCTGTTTTGACAACCTGGAAGACTCCGATCCTAGCAACACGTTTTTAGGTTTAGGACTTTCTGATCCAATAATGACAACACCCTCTGCTTAATTAAGAATACAGTGCTGTGCCATCACGTCATTGAAAGTAAGTACTCATTCAGATTTAATCTGTCCTGCCTCACTTTCAATTTCTGCCCTCTCTAATAATAGATGAGTGGACAGCAGGGTAGGATGATCCCATTCATATTGATGAGGCCTGGATACGTGGACTTAAATAAGAAGGCAGTGAAGGAGACATGAAGGAGACAGGAAGACCATCTGATCCACCTCCTTCGCGCAGGACATTCAAATTTCATGTGAGACAAACATGTGCTAGATTTTGAAAACTTTTTTTCATCTTTAATTTGAGACACGGCAGCTGCAGTTTTGTGGGTCGGATCTCTGCGTGCAGTTTACTTTATGAGACAGCCCATAAACACACACATATTCTCGCAACCTGGTTCTTGGATCGTTGTGGCATATTTTGTCCATCTATTAATGGAATTTAGGTTAGGCTATTGAATGCAGCGAGGAGAAAGTAGGTTAGGTGCTATACCGAAGAGAAGCTGGGTCTAAGACGCACCTCATGATCAACAGGGATGGTGACGTAAAATGGCACACTTAACACCATATGTTGATAGATCTGCTCTACTGGAACACGTAGTGTAACTCAACTCTCTAAGGCAGTTTAGTGGTCGGCTTGTTTGTAGGAGGCGCCAACTATGAGATAAAAGTGCTTCTATAACTAGTTCCTCCTCCCTCTGGAAGCAATTACAGGCAGGTAGCAGACGGTTGGACGAAGTGCAATCGGCCATATCATACAAACATATGTCATTCTACAAATCACATGGAGGAGGAGGAAGAGGTTGGTTTTACTTTTTCACTAAAGGAACCAGAATGCTAGGCTCACTTGTTACTGTGTTTGGGAAATGTATGCATTTTAATGTTTAAATAATTATCTCAGTATAATATGGAGAAACAAATAAGCCATTTAGGTTTTCCTCGGAAAAGGTATCAAAATATAGATCTGTGACCGACCAGTCAGACAGAGCTACATGGGCTCAATTAATGACATTTATTTGTGTTCAACCAATGGATGGCTAGTGTAACACTTTTAAAAAGAATATTACCCAAAATGAAAATTTCTGTCATAAATTTACTGAGATTATAGAGTTTGAGACAAGTAGTAATGTCTGATTAATGAAAGAATAATTATTTTGAATCAGATTCAGTTCACCAATTAGTTTTAGTTAGTTCACCAATCCAGTGCGAATGATTCTTACACAAATCAGACTGATCGAGAGACTTACGGTGCGTTTACACTGGCGTGGAGTGAGCAGAGCAGAGTGGGTGTTTTCAGTTCATTTCTATGGCAGCCGAAAGTGTTGAAAGGTTCAGACATGCTCAACTTTATGCAAATGACAAGTGAAAAAACATGTGACGACAGTACTTGTGTCGAAACTACTATTGCAAGTAGTGATGTTTGTCATGAGCGTTTAAAAATATTTTGAGTTTGAGTGATACTGAGCTGAGTTTGTCGCTGCAGTGTAAACACACCATTAATGATCTGGTCTCAACGGTTAACAGCTCACTAGAGGGGACGATTATCAGTGAAAACCGACTTAAATTAGTGGAATTTCGTGCATGGGGTGTATTGACAGATACTTTTATGGTACTATTTTCAGACATACTGGTTTGGAATGACATGAGGTTTGCACAATTTTTTGTTTTGTGTAAACTATTCTTTCAACAAATGAGGTTGGACACCTTGAATGTGGTGCTATTTACTTAGGGTGAGGTTCTCTCCAATATATTTGTGCTTTTTAAAAACTGGTTCATGGCCCAAGATGCAATCAGAGCATAATTATCACCGGTGTAGATTACATTCAGGCATGTATTTCATCAGACCGTTTTAATTACCTTTGTTCCTGAGAGTCGTTGCGCTAGCTGATGTTGTCAGCTCATCGTGTCGCTTTTGTGTTGTCAGATCAGCACTCTTCCCCACTTCCTTATCGCCTTCCTCCAATGCAAAGCCTGCTGGGAAAACAGAGCGCACAAGGCTGAGAATGTGGTGCTGAATGAAAGTTTTTATGACTGAAAGAGTGGAGAAACAAGAACATTTCCTAACCTAGTTATGTCAAGCAGATTTCTGTGGTATTTCTGTGGTATTCAGAGGCATTGGAGTTGGCATCTGTGTTTAATTACAATGACTTGACTTTCATGTTTGAATGTAGGCACCCCGCTCCACTATGACAGAGCTTCATTATGGATCAGAAACTGAAACCTTATCTTTGTGACCAAGAAGGATTATCAACCTAATCCGAAAACCTTTCTGAGAAAAAGCTACAAACACACAGAGCCGTGTGAGGCTGTGTAGCACTTACACCTAACCAAGACTGAAAAGAGACATGGCACATTGAGGCCACAGTGTTTATTATCTCGTCATTGGTCACTGATTCCCACAGATCCTACTGAAATCCATTTTTCCATTAAGTGTCACACATCATGCTTCCATGTTTGTCACATTCTTTATTAATAGCCTTGGAGATGGAATGTTTACATTCCCAAATGTGTAGCTATGTAGCTGTTTGGGCATTCGTGTGTGTATGGACTATGTATGGATGCGCAGCGCCAATGTGCCTAAACAAGTGTGTAGATTTGTGTTCACCTTATGTTTAGTGTAGAAAGTCATTGCATATGCAGACATACACGACCTTAGACTGGTAGACTGTTTGTGTGACTATAATCATCCCTTGTGGTAACGGCAAAAAACCTGCATGATCCCGTTTTTTTTTCTTTGTATATCGTCAGGATACTTGATACTTGGCCTGATCACAGCAGATCTTCATTCTAGTGCTGAGAGTACTGTCTCTCATTAGCATGAATAATGAGCTCTGCACCAAACCAAGTGGGGAGCCTAAACAAGGACAGTGTATGTGTGCGTGTGTGATTGTGCACAGCTCAACTCGTCCTCTCTTGGCAGGGGTTCAGTCAAACTAAACCATCAAGCATCACTAGGTCACCACTTGATTCCATCATTCTCTGTAAAAGAAAATTTGTTGATTTGTCTATATAGTCTATGCACTCATCTATTATCCATCCATCTACCTCATTATATATACACATTATCCATCCATATCTTTTTAATACATCTATGTTTATCTTCATCTATACATCCGTCCGTCTTTCTTTCCTTCCATTCATTCATCCATCTGTATATATATATATATATATATATATATATATATATATATATATATATATATATATATATATCCATTTGTGCATATATCCATCTACCCATCCATCCATCTGCCCATCCATCCATCCGCCCATCCTTCAGTCCGTCCGTCCATCCATCCATCCGTCCATCAGCCTTGTACTCAATTACTCTCCCCTGTCTCTTCATGGGTGATTTAAAGATTCTAACTCTTACACCAGCTGTGTTCAAATGAAGCGCCAAACGTCCCCCGTTAGTCTATGCCAGAACCACCTATAGACCACCGATCCTCATTAGATGATGACGAATGTTCTTTCAGAGCTAGTTATTCATCTATGAAACCCTCTTTACCTTCATCTTCCTGTCTCGTTCTCCATTTTTACCCCTCCTCCAACTCCTTCCCTGGTCTATATTAATAAAGATGGAATTAGATCAGAATTTGTAATTTGACCCCTTCACATACATCGCCTCCCTCATTGGGCTGAATGTGTATGTTTGAATGACTGAGTTTGTGTTTGTCTGGGAGATTATGAACAAGTACGTTCAAGAGAAAAAGGGCCAGTTTGAATTTCATTAAAAAAGGATCCTTGGGGGGTGGGATTGGGAATCACTCATTTTCCTCCTTTTTTAGATTCAGTAAAGTCACACACAATCTCCACACAGGCAGTAATGAGTCGGTTAGTCTCTAGGCGCTTTAAGAAAGCCTAGTCATAGGATTAACCTTTTATGAAATTACAGTGATGTAACTACTGCATTATCATCATACTGCAATAGTGCATTGTTTGAGAGTGTGTTTTAGTGACACAAGCTGTGCATACAGCTTACCTAAAACACAGTCAAAAATGTACTACATTGCTTTTCAGCAGTGTTGCCGTGACAACGATCACATTGTAACCAGTCTGTGAGCCGTAACCCTGACAACTGTTTAGTTTATGATCTGATCTGCTCCTGACATAACCAAAGTCCCTTTAAGACAAGAGACAAGAGACAAGTCATTTCACTCGGCGGCCATCTTTAAAACACCTTTTGGGCATGCAAGTGTAGCTCCTATCTCTTTGAATGGGGAAACATCAAATTCTCCAAAACTGGACAACAACTATCTCATAAATATTGTTTCTAAACGCACGAATCATGACAGAAAATGACATTTTTCAGGCTGGATCAAGCTAATGCGCATGTGCAGTGGAAGCGAGCGTCTGACTGTTTCTATAGGAACCGGAGCTTCTAACGGCAGCTGCAGTGACACGATGACTTTACCAATCGCGATTCGCTCTTATTTAGAAGACGGGACTTATTCCGCCATGTTGAGCATTGCAAACAATACGAGTGACGAGTCTTGTGTTATTCTAGTTTTGGAGATTACTAGCATGTTACCTCAGAATTAAGTGATGTAATCAAATGTTGATTCTTTTGACCGAACAAGAACGTCATATTCATCAGGTCCAGACAGCTGTCACATGTTTGCACTGCCATCTGAATGACCCATGACCTAAATTGCTTTTATGTTTGAATATGAGTAACTAATAAGTATTTAAGAAATGATGAGACAAAGATTTGTTAGTGTAGAGGAGGTGAGGTGAGGTCACCACACAACAGCACAGGGTTGTTTTTGCGGTAGGATGGAAAGAAGAAAAAGGAATAAAGAAACAGAAAAAGAGAAACAGGATCAGAGGAAGAATCCTCTAGCAGGCTTCTTATCTCTCTGGAAAGCAGTCAAATCTCGCAAAATTTCCAGATCAGTTTCATCTTAAAACTTCATATTTCATGCCAAAAAAAAAAAAAAAATATAGCAAATTTATTTTTACAGTTTTTTTAGTAAGCCTTTGTTTATGAGCATTTTCATAAAACAAATATTTCACATATTTTACAATCAAACTCTCATTATTGTAATTGGGTTAAAAAATATGTTTTCATAACTATAAGTGATTATCCAATTTTTATTTTAATTCATATAAATATAATTAACTAAAATGTTTGCTTACAATTTACTTTACAAATGCAAATTGCAAGTAATAAAATGACAGTTTTTTTCTGTATTACTGTAGTAATAAAAATGTGATTTTTCACATTATGAAGGGTAATGCTAGCCTGACTTCGTCATACTCATATTCTAGTCAGAATGTGAGTCTGATACTGCCCCATACGCTGATTTCACGCAGCCGCCATTTTGAAATGGCTCCGGTGGGAAGAAAACCGTTAGTGTCGCCTTTAATCATAGGAGAGTCGCGAATGTGATGGAGTATTGTTGTGTTTAATGTAGAAATTAGTTATTCGAAAAATGTACATACATTTCTTTCATACTTTAGACTATATACAGTGAAATTCATTTATAAATAAAATGATTTTTTTATATATAATTCAGAACGTAAAAAAAGAAGCAGGAACGAACTATATACATATCCTATATTGGATATTAACATCCAATAGTGTAAATCGCGGCACCAGCTTCAGGTTGGTAGTCCAAGGCATTGTTGTCTATCTGTACTTCCGGGGTTCTTTCCACCGGAGCCTCGCTTTCATTTTCAAAATGGCAGCTGCGTGAAATCAGCGTATAGGGCTTTGATTATAAGGCGTGTCTTAACCGAACCAGGAAAAAAAACACACCTCTGCACTCAATTGGATAGACCTACAACCAATCAGAGCAACGCAGTAAGTGACGTATGTTGAGTTACACATAGTTGTCAACAGAACTCAACTGCACGCACGCTGGAAGAAGTAGTAAAATAATGAGTGTTGCTTCTTTTACTTGGTCCTCCATGAGTGCGACCAAAGGAGAAAACCACAACGACCACATCCCATCTTCTTAGCGACCATCGGAGAGGGCTGATAAATTAGACTTTTGCCGAATCTCGTAGGAAGGACGGTAAACACATCTTTCCGATTGACAAATGCCTTGATTGCAGTTCTCTGTTCGTGTTTTAAAATGAATGCGCTGTCGATTTCTTTTACAACAGACGTGATAGCGGAATCTATACATCTCAATTCTCCAGCTGCAGTCAACTTTGAGGGAAACCAGTTCAACCCAAGCGCTCTTTGATAACGTGAGGATTACGTCCCTGCAGATCATCTGTCCATCATCGTATAAAGCCCGCCCTGGCAATTTGATTGGCCCGACGATTTCTGAACCGATCATAATTACTCCTCAATGGATCGAGTCCAGACCAAAAAATGTTGTGGGTGGGGTTCGGGCTGGTATCCAGGCTAGGGTAATGCATATATAAATAAAAAAATAGGCTTCCCCATTTCTTTAATGTAATTTTTTTTCTTCATTTTATTGTAGGGTGACATATGACCCAGACAGTGTTTGTGAGATTCAGCCTGGTTTCCTCAAGTCTCAACACGCCTTTCTTTACTGCTCTCCTTTTTCCCAGACTCCCCTCCTCCTCTCAGGTCCAGTGTGGTAATTGACCTTGCTCTCAGCTCCAGCGTGTTTTTGAGGTGGGGGATAAGCAATTTGTGGCTGCATGCACCTCCAGAAGACAAGGTGACCGAAACATTGGTCAATAATTTGCTGTTTCTCTCTCACACACACACACACGGAAATTCTGTCCTGAAACCTAAAATTCAGGATGCGCTTTGCCGAAAAAAATGATCAAATAAATAATTAATCAAACTTATTTTTAATCAACCCTCGAATATCTAAAACAGAGTTGTACAAACATTTAAATTGCACAGAAGGCAGTTTTTATAAACTTTTTAACAGAATTTTGTTGGTGAAATATAAACCATTTCGGCCCAAAAACCGAAGGAGGTTTAGAGGGTTCATGTTTATGTAAAAATCCTATTTGATGAAGTTGTTAAAATTACACTTTAAAAAGTGCCACAATACTGAAATGTTGCAGTAGAATCAATTTAGTCTCATTTACGTCTGCCACATGTTTACTAACCTGCTTAAAATGTCAATCTCCAGTGCTTAATGCAATATGGACAATGCAAAATAAAGTACAAGTATTGAAGAAAAGGCTCAATTGATTCCATCAGCGAAACAACAGTATTTAACTTTTGATACAAACAAAACTGCGGGCATGTACCCAAGATTTGCAGAAAGGCAATAACTCTCAGAGAGAGGTGGATAGTAGCAGATCCTCTCTGTATTTCCTGTCTCCACCATCTGAAAAAGATTCTACAAGTTTGGATTGAAAGGAAAAGAACAAAAAGACATGGAAAAACATGTCTCCGGGAGCCAGGAGAGGTTGAAAGAAAACATAAGACTGAAGGACTAAATAAGACTTATGGCTGGAAAAGAAAGAGAGATGCCCAGTAAACGTCATGAGCCCTATTACTGAAAGAGAGGACGGATAGAGTAAATTGAGAAAAGGAGACTAAATGTTGAGAGAGGCATGCTCAGCATCCATGAACAGGCGGTGCGGAAAAACATCGTCTCTGAGGATTCACTGGCTCTGCTGACTCTGCCATCGGAATACTGATTACATACCGCCCAACTGGCTGCTTCTCCAGTGCAAATCCCATGCTCACTGCGAGCGCACACACACACACACACCCGCTCCTTTAGCAGATATCAAACAGAGCCATGTCAATACTGGTTAGCATGCTTAGCCACTACACATACACCACAGCTTAGGTGCCTGGCACACTATTTACAAGGATATCTGGAGAGTTCTTGTGTGCGATCACCTCAAAGGAGGTCTATATTGATTTGTCTGGCTGGCACCTTGATCTTACTGGTCTAGATTTTTTTGGATCAAAATGTCACAAGTCTTTGTGAAAGGTCTCTCCAGTGGGATATACACTCAACGCTTGACCTTAAATGATGCAAATGTTCATAATGGAAATACTAGCATATTGCTTACTGCCTAGAGTTTAAATTTAAATAGTATGTGTAATAGCATGTGCATCATGCAACAACATTACAATACTTTACAATACAAACTTTCAAACAGTAGTATGCTACAATACGTTGTTGTCATTGCTGATTTCATTACATTAGGTCTTAGAAATAAATATGTAAATAAATACATTTGGACTGTTAATCCGGTTTTATGTAAAAACGTCTTAACTTTAAGCAGTTGGTCGCAGTACACAGTAAATGTAGCAGGTAACAGTGCCTTTGTACATAACATTTGCATACTGTACACTATTGTAGATTATTGTACACACGCAGGCTTGTGTACAATTTAGATTTTACATATTTATTAAGATTATTTTTAAGACTTATATTTTCCTTTTCCCTTAAATTCTCATTACTGTTTAATTCTCATTACTCATTAAGTTATTTTCATAACTGTAAGAATGATTGTCTGAAAACATTGATTTAATTTTTATTTCGCATTATAGTAATGAGAATGATTTGCACTACATCTTAATCTAAAAAAAAACAACGTATTCACAAAATTGCCTTCATTTCTGTCATGCAAAATTTAATTAGTCTTTTCATGTGGCGACATAGGACTCCCTATATAGTACAGTACATACTTGTATAAGCAGTATGCTATTCAAAACACAACCCATGTCTCTCAGACTCACTACATATACAGATATCAGCAGTAATGGAGTAGTTCCTACTCTTACTATCAGATGAAAGTCATTCTTCTCACTACTTATTAACAAGATTTTGCATGTTTCAGGGACTCAGGGGCTATTAATCAATTAATCAGACTCATTGATTTCACTGCTAACCCTTCACTGGTAATCAATGAAGGCTTGGCAACTCATTAAATACACATTTTCCCCTTAAATAGAGGTAAAACAATGAAACAAAGGAACAAATGTAATACACTCATGCCTGCTCAGGAGAGGTCATAATTTTTGATAATTGTGTCAAAATCTTAGATCATATGCTTGGGTTGCAAGCAAACAGAGAAATTATGGTTGACTTACCTCCTGCTGGCAGGGTGGGAGTGGGATCTGGGCCAAAACTTTGCACTCTTTCCCCTTCTGTTGGGCCTGTGGTCTTCTCTACCCTTGTAAATCCCTCCAGAGCCTTGCTAGTTGGTTTAAAAGGCGTCCATTCTGGATCCGAGGCCTTCTTTGTTGTCCCCAATGTGTTTAGTTTAGTGCTGACAGTGGTCAGAGGAACGGTAGATACTTCAGGCTTGGGGTCTGCTGGTGTAATGAAATTTGTGGTTTGAAATGAAGCTGTCGTTAGTTCTGGTGTTGTTGACAGAGTGTCTGTGGGTATGGTTTGGTCACTGTAAGGGTTCATGGTTTCCGTAATCTTTCTCAGTGTTGCAGTCTGAGTGGGGCTGGTACTTTGATCAGTGGATACAGTGTATGTTTGTATTTCTGGTTTAGTTATCTGGGGAGATGTCGTTTGTGGGGTTTTCGCTGTGCTTTGGCCATTATTGGGGGGCCAGTGGTCAAGATCATAGCTTTGATAGTGCTTAGAGGGAGGTTCAGTCCCATCTAATCGGGGTTTGTTCCTGAGCAAGTCATTTGTTGTCAGTTTTTCTGATTTTAAAGGCAGCAGAGTGCCTATCTGAATGGTGCTGCTTTGAAATTCCTCAATTGTTGTTGCGGTCGGCTGGTATTTTGGGCTGGTTAAGCCCTCAGAATTCAGAGTATAGTCTTGTGTGGTTGGTTCTGGAAGTGTCGGGCTCACCTTTGTTGTGGCAGACCCTTTAGCCTGACTGAAAATATTTAATGATCCAAAACTGAGTGATGGAAGATTCCCAAAAAAGCCCCAACCTTTGGAGTCTACCTTGGTTTGGGTTGTCGGTTTTGGCCCATACAAGCTGAAAAACCCATTGATAGAACTGATAAGAGAGAAGAACACAAGAGTCCCACGCAGAAGCAGCATTCTGCCCCTCTAATGTCGTGCTGGGCCACTGCTCACATGGTGTCTGACTTTCCGAGGAATGCCCACCGGATGCACTGGGCTTCTGCAGCAAATAATCTGAAGTAGAGACACAAAAAACATTGATATTCTCTCAGTTTACTTCAAGTAAGTTATACTATAGACGTTCTTCCATTGTGCCTGTATGCGAACCCATTTAAGTTTAAGCCTTTGAGTTTAGTAGTTTCATACCCAATCTCACTTCTTCCTGCTGTCACAGAGGTGGCCTCAACTCTCCATTGACAGAGCAATTATAGAGGCAGGGCTCTTAAGAATACTAATAGAAGACTAGAGGTCTCTTTGTGGCAGTGTATATATGGGGGCGGTGTAATAGGACGTATAGAGGCCCGGTTTCTTTGTGGAGCTGTGGGCTAATTTTGGAGTATAAAGCTGATGGCCTGTAGCCTCAGTGAGAGGAGTTGAATTTGATGAAATTTCTCTTGGAGTGAGATTTGGACTTTCTGTCTTTCTTTGCAGCCCCCGCGTTCCTCTTTCTCGCGCTCACTTTCTCTCCCCCTCACGCAATTGATTTGTTCTCGAAACTGCAATAAACTCTCTACTCTCCCACTGGGAATAAAATTGGTTGTTTTTGGTCAGTAAATAGCAGGATAAGTATTTTGAAATTCTCTTTCATTTCCTTTCTTTCTGTAACCCAATTGTGTCTTATCCATCTCTCAATGCCATCTGTATCGCAGAAATAGCCTCCCTCAGAGTCTTTTTTAAAGACAGAACTCCTTCTCCGCTTAATGAGGTTTGCTTACTAATACTAGATTAAACCAGCTAACTGGCTCTGGGCTAATGGGTTTAAAAGAGATTGATGGATTGCAGATTTGTCTTTCAGAAAGCGCAAAAATCTGCCACGATCTAAAGATGCACATTGACCTGAGAGAGGATTTATGGATTATTAGAGTCTGGGTAACTGAACAATTAAGAGTCGATATTCATCTAATCGACCCCTTCATATAAGTTTAATAGCTGCAAAACAACAACAACAACAAAAACATAACAGCAAATTTACAAACATGAAAACATTATATTAAGATTAAGAGATTAATAAGCCTGTAAAGGGTGTTGTATTTTGAAACTTTTGGTAATGTCACATGCTCACCATCACCACAGCAGATATTTAAAAGAAAATACAATAAAACAGCAATACAATAATACAGTAATATTATTACAATTAAAATAAAATATTTAAAATGTAATTTATTCCTGCAAAGCTGAATTGTCAGCAGCCACAGTCTTCAATGTCACGTGATCCTTCAGAAATCATTCTAATATGCTGCTCTGCTGCTGCCCAAGAAACATTTGTTTTTATTATCACAGCCAAACATAATTGTGCTGCCTAATATTTTTGTGGAAACTGGGATCCTTTTTTTTTTTCAGATTCTTCAATTGAAAGTTCAAAAGAACAGTGTTTATTTTTTTGTAACAATGTAAAAGTTTTACTGTCACTTACGATCAATTTAATGCATCTTTGCTGAACATATGCATTCATTTCTTTGGAAAAAAATATATGCTGAAAATGTTGACATTGCTTCACTTTGGAAATGGAAGGTCAACGCATTGCACAGTACCCAGTATAATATAATCTGGTTGTACATGTACACACAGCATATTTTACTGACACTATTTCTGGCATACAGTATATGCTTTTTTTTTTTTAACTAACATAACACTCCGCAGGGGGCGCTGTTGAAGCCTGGCTGATTCATAGTCATTATTGTCATCACTAGTCAGACTGTTACCATTACCACACACCACCTGCTTTTAGCGAAGAAGTCCTGTCTTCGGGGCCGTCGCTAGCAAGGTGAAAGGTGGTGATGATTCTAGTGGTGATTTTAACCATTAAAAGCTGTATTACTATCAAAAAATGTATCAGACGCTATAGCTTAAGTTTCTCTGCCCCCGCCTTTGTCTTTCATACCTTCTGAAATGTTTAATTTCAGAAGAACAGTTTCGCCAGTGCTAAATGCCTCAGTAAGTCATACCCCACAGGAGCTTGTTAAGCAGCATCACAAACGCTACTGTGTGCATGTGTCAGAGTGTGTGCCAAACAGAACACCTAAATGACTGTATAGCACTGCGCTTTACTATTAGGCCCCCCTCTATTTTGTTCTTTCTCTGTCTCTATCCATTTCTCTCACTCCCCTTTCCCTCTTTCATTGTCATTTTGTTCCACCGTGCGTGGCAAAGAAAGGGCTTGCCAGAGCAGGATGTAATCACTCAAGCAGAAAAAGAGAGTGCTCAAGAGCTACTCCTGATTTAACACTACACATTTAGTCCTCGTCTGAAATCTGTCCTTTGTTGAGTCATTTTATTTTATTTTTTGGAATACATTTCACCATAGAGTGTGTCTGTAACCCACAATTAATTCTTACACTCATAATCATCATAAAACATATTACAATTATCATCCAAACTATCACTATTTTCATTTGTACTCAGTGGTTATCAAATGGTTTTGTTTAAAGTTTTTGCAATGGAAGTATTGGCCTAACATAAGACCAAAAGTGCTCATTCAAAATTTTAGCAGTTTCAAAATCTTGGCAGCCTGTTTGTGTTGGCATCAACTTAATTTCTTTTCCCAATATACATTTAATTTGAGCCACAATACAGTAGATTGCACTGGATAAACACCTTTTGAAATGGGAAGAATTTTTAAAAAATTTATATATTTTTTATCATACCTATATACAATTATATGGTTAGTTGCATTTTATATTGTGCACTCAGCATTATTTTCCCCAGCTTTCTGCAACGCTGTCAGAATGGACATAAATTCACCAGTTGAGAACCACTGATCTAAATAACGTTGTGCATCACCATCTATCATAACTTAACCAATGAGAGACAAAATGGTGATTCCACTTAATCAGAAGAGGATCTTAATGTAACTATTAGGGGACTGAGAGAAGGTTAGAAGTGTCCTTCTCTCAATATACTTGTGTTTAAAGGAGGTCTAGTGCTGAGGACCTTCTTAAGTGGTGACAGATCGACTAGTCATGGTATCAATTATTTTAACAGGCCTCTAGACGTGCATGACGGCTCTGGGAATCATTGGCTCACGCCTTCATGAAACCAAAAGATTTATTCAACAAGCCTCTTTGGTTCTTATCTTATAGACACTGTGGGGGAGGGGATATTTATGACCTGCAGCCATAAAAAAAAAAACACACACAGATGCCCATAAAGGGGCTTTCCTTTAAACACAGTCTAAAGATTTTTAGAGACAGCAAAAGCCATTAGCCTATAACCTTAACCTCAAATTAACCCAACCATGAACCAGAGCAGCCATGGTCTGGTGCATCATGATCTAAATGCAGCCTAGTCCTAAACTACAAAGTCTAAGGATATTTAAGGCCTGGTTTACCAGAGACTACAAAGTATTTTAGTAGTAAAATAGCTTAACTCTTAGAAAAAAAGGTTCAGTGGGGTTCCACTCTCCATACCAAAAAGGTTCTATATAAGGTGAAATGTCTTAAATTATTGCATAATACTTTGTTTAATATGTTATTTCAAATTTTCTAGTGAGAAAGTATGTTATGTACGAGCTGCTTAATTCATACAATTTTATTCAAATTAAAAATGAATCCATAAAAGGATCCAATGATCGGAAGAGCCCCCCTAAATCACCTCAATAGACTGGATTGTGTGCTGTTATTTTACATTGAGTTTCTCCTTCCATTCCCTCACACTGCGAAACACTGGGCTCAATACTGTTGACTCCATGTACACAATCATTTTCCACATCAACGGCTCTCTGCGTCCTTATAGTTGTCAGTCCCCACAGTGTTCATTAACAGAGTGTTATCAAGCTGCAAGCCTGAATGGATCGATCCATTTATGTTTAGTCTATATGTGCATGTATATTGATGAATTATATGTCCTGATTATATATTTTTTGCTCCCAGCCATCCACCATCACTGCTGGGTGTTTTATTTTATCCCCTGCTCACAATATCACTATACACACACAAAATACATAGTTATATTTGTCTATCATTCAAATTATTTAAGATGTTTTTACAGGTGCTTATCAACGTGGTCCGAACAACCTGTTGACATTTGTGACAGTTTCACTGTAATTTCCAAATGTTGCAAATGTTTTTCACTGCTTTCTGTCTTGGCACACACATAATGCTGCTCATCAGGAGTCAATTACACTTGGCTGCGAAAACATGATAAATGACCTGTCACGTTAATGTTTTCGTGGGCTTTTTTTCTTAAAGCATCCGGATCACCTGATTATCTTAAAACGCACAGGCTGCTATGCTGGCTGCCTTCGCCATGGTTACCAGAGGAGCAGAATGCGTCTGCAACGCAGAGCTCTTCCCACACAGCACATATGTGAATGTGTGAAGAGGTCTGAGATGCTACACAACCATCCGTTTAGCATGATCAAGAGCATTAGCTGTGGTTATAGAGCAAATACAGATCTTTATGCACCTGACACACATTTCTGGCTAATGTTGTCACATTTATACACCTAAATCAGGATTTACAGCCAACTGCAGTGAGGCTGTAGCTTCTATAATGAAACATTTCTTGAAAGATGAAGGACAGAAGGAGAAACTTACCTTTCTCCCTGAGGAGAAGAGGAAAACAGAGAATCCAGAACAGCCACCAGCACTCCACTGCAGGAGAGAGAGAGAGATCTGTCTCTCTGTGCGTGTGGGAGAGAAATCGTTTTTGGTCACACACTCTCCCTCCCTCCCTCTTTCTCTCTCCTCCCCTCTCTCGCTGCATCAGTAGTCTAGTGTAGGATTCAGATGCACAATATCTGGTCACACCTCGCTGAGCAGATTGTTAGAGAGCAGAGAGCAAGCACTGTACAGCAGGCAACCGTCAAGGAATTAAGCATCCTGCACAGAAGAAAAACACACATGCTCAAAAACACACCGTGAATACATAAACGCACATGCACCATAGCATATACATACAAATATGCAGCATGCACAACAATTACACAAGATACATACAAGAATTAAGAAGCAAAACGTACACAAGAATTCGAAATATTTGAATATTTAATAAACATACATTTTAATTACATTTCATTTAAAATGTATTCATATATTTATGCTTAATTGTAAAATTCTATACATACTTTTAATGAATTATAAACTGAAATTTGAACCTAAAACGTGTCAAAAAACGATCATAACAAAACATTGCAGCACACTTCCGCCCACAAACATTAACATGTCACACTTCTGAGTTGACTTTTGCCACACTTCGGCTTGTCAATAAAATGTCTTATCTCTGAATCTGATCCCAGTCAAAGATAGCCAATAATAATCCATTCACAATGTTCCTCCTGGGAGAGGAAGCATTCTGGGATATGATTGCATCTCTGATCCCAAGGAATTCTCCAAATTTAGAAACAATCTGAATTGTCCCATCCCAAGGAAACATAATTTCCTGATGGAAAGCCCAACTTTGTCAAATTGGATGGAGCCAGTATGTCTCAATGCCAGTTTGACCTCACATACAATACACACGCACACACCATTTTACTTTTGCTCCAGATCAGTACATCTCACGAGAGCAGGCACCAAAGGTAATGTTTTTGAGGACAGGATGTTTTAATAAGGTTAAAGGAGTAGTTCACTTTAAAATGAAAATTAGCCCATGATTTACTCACCCTCAAGCCATCCTATGTGTATATGACTTTCTTATTTCAGACGAATACAATCGGAGTTATATTAATAAACACCCTGACGCTTCTAGGCTTTATAATGGCAGTGCATTGCACCATCAGTTTGAAGCTCAAAAAAGTGCATCCAACATTTGGGGAACATTTAGGTTATCTAGCTGTTTTGATGATCGTCAAATTGATGGATTAAGGATATATATGAGCTTGACTATATAGTTAAGGTACATTTCTGTCGTTCCAAACCTGTATGACTTTATATCTTCTGGGGAAGATAAAAGAAGGTATTTTTGAAGGAATCTCCTAAATTTTAATTTTGTCATTGTTTTGGAACACACCAGCTTATTCATAACCTTAAGGCTAACATATTCATACTAAAAGCTAAAAAAAACAGGGGGCCTTTAAAGTCACCCTGTGGCGAAAATCAAGCTTTTAATGTTGTTTATATGTCTATGTGATGTTTTTAATATGCTTTAAGACAAACCATGTGCAAATTCATAAGTCAACACCATTGCTGAGTATTTTCTCTTTAAAACTGCAGTGAACCAAAGACAGTCTCAAAAACACGGTTTGAAATCGCCGGTGTTTCTTACGTCATAAACTACCTTGTAACCAATCACGTCAACGTGCCGGCGGGCTTTAGCATATCATTAAAGGTGCCCTAGAATGTTTTTTTTTATTATTTTATAATGTTTCCTGGGTTACCCTTATAATGTTAGTATGTTTTTTAGATAAAAAATAATCATAATTTAGAAATAAATGTCATTTTTCCTAGCCTGCTTTTAGCCTCTGATTTGAACACTCTGTTTGAAGGGGCGTGTCTGCTGTGGGATTCAGGCCCTGTCCACACGGACACGGGTATTTTTATAACCGTGACTTTTTTACGCGGTTCGGCCGTTCGTCCACACGAAAACGCACTGAAACCGAACATTTTTGAAAACCCCTGCCAGGGTGAGGATTTTCAGAAACGCCGGTTACAGTGTTGTCGTGTAGACAGTGAAACCGGGGTTTTTGCCTTGCGACGTCAGAGTGTGTGCCGTTATCAGCTGTGTTTGACATGAGATTTGCGCTTCTGATTGGCCAACGTGGCTTTAGGGTTAAGGTTTATATCGCCGCCTGCTGGCATGCCATGCTCTTGACCGCGCTTGATTGCGTGTTTTTGCGTTTTCATGTAGACGGAGACCGAGCACGTGTGGACGGGATTTTTTTTTAAAACGCTGTAGGAAAAACTCCGGTTATAAAAATACCCGTGTCCGTGTGGACATGGCCTCAGTGTAACCGCGGCCACTGCTGTGATTGGCTGACATGCTTGCATATGAAATAGCTACGCATTACATGTGAAACTCTCTCCCGAATACTTTTACTACTGCTTTTATACGTTTTTACTATAACAGCTATCGAGATTAACGAATCGTGAGATGTTTTTAAAGTATTTAGATCTATTCCCATCACATAAAATGTTGCCACGATGAGCATTGAGCAGATGACAGTGTGTTGATCGCGAGAATGAAGATCTTATCATTGCAAAGCAGTTTCTGCACTCTCTCTGCTTTCACCAATGCAAACACGATGATGTAAATACAGTAAGAGCTTCGTTGTGCAGTAACGTGCGTCATTGATTTCATAACGAGTTTGGCAAGTGTCCAGATAAACTCGCGCTGTGTGGAAAGATTGTTCTTTGATCGCTTTCTGTATATAATTTGTTCACAATTTAAATACGATTATTTTCATCCTACTAAAAGAAACGATGTGAAGCTGATATTTTAGTCACTGGCTTGACTTACTGATGCATAAACAGTATTGAACGATTTTGAGAGAAAGATTACCTGTCTGAACTTGAACAATTACACATCAGAAAGTGTTGCTTGGTAGCTCGATCCGAGGCCAGCTCTGTATTGGCCCAAGTTGAGGAAACAGTCGGTGAAATGTTTGGAAATTTCCAGAGAAAATAAAATTAACCCATTGTTTCTTCAGAGGCTCAGATGAAGGAACTAAAAAATACTTTTGTGTTCATGTGTACATCCACACTGAGCAACTGCCATGCTTCGGCTGCGCAGTTCCGCCTGGCATTGAGGGCTGGCATTATGCAAATATTTGGAGGCGTACATATTAATGATCCCGACTATTGCGTCACAGTCGGTATTGTGTGGAGAACCGACCGTTTTTCAGGGGTGTTTTTCATAAACGTGAATTAAATGAGAACGCGAAAACAGTCCAGTTTGAGATTCACTCTATGTCATGTCCATGCACTGAACTCTTGTTATTTGACTATACCAAGGTAAATTCCATTTTGAATTATAGGTCACCTTTAACTATTCTCTGAAGCAGGGAAGTCTCAAGAGAAGGCAGGTTATCCTGGTATATTTTTCTGTTGATATATAAAAAAAAAATCTGGTTCTTTTAGCAATACAACAGGTGAATTATGTACAGTATATAATACATATATTCTATAATACAGTATATTACGATGCTATGATAAACTATATGCCTTTCTTCATTGACGTTCAATAGCGTTTCAAAGGATACTGATTTTTAGAAGGCAGCTGTCTGACTCTGAGATGGCGAACGGGAACATGGTTTGTGTAACATTAGCAACACATTATTAGCTTTAGTCAAGCCAAAGGCTAATCATATTAATTACCGTTATGTGTCCGACAATGTAGAGCCATACATAAAGCACATTACCATAATGATACATCGACTTGTAGATGAGCCTGTATGAGTGAGTGGAGGCGGGGATCATCCGCATATGTTAAATGATGCTAGGGTGTAGAGTTAGGCATTGTCCACACGGACACGGGTATTTTTATAACCGGAGTTTTTCCTACAGCGTTTTTAAAAAAAAATCACGTCCACACATGCTCGGTCTCCGTCTACATAAAAACGCAAAAACACGCTATCAAGCGCGGTCAAGAGCATGGCACGCCAGCAGGCGGCGATATAAACCTTAACCGTAAAGCCACGTTGGCCAATCAGAAGCGCAAATCTGACGTCAAACACAGCGGATAACGGCGCACAATCTGACGTCGCAAGGCAAAAACCCCGGTTTCACTGTCTACACGACAACACTGTAACCGGCGTTTCTGAAAATCCTCACCCTGGCAGGGGTTTTCAAAAATGTTCGGTTTCAGTGCGTTTTCGTGTGGACGAACGGCCGAACCGCGTAAAAAAAGTCACGGTTATAAAAATACCCGTGTCCTTACATTCAAGCTATTTTAAAGGTTCTCTAAGCGATCCTGGGTGACGTCACTTCTTGTTGACGTTCGAACTATTGTCAAACAAAACGGAGGCTAGCTAGACCCTCCCTCCTCCTCATCCGCACACTAACCCCCCAAACCACACCCCCAAACCCTTCTTGTCGGTCATTGGCTGGAACAGTTTGTTATGTTTCGGGGAGCAGGTCGCTGCAGTTTGTTTTTGTTGCTGTTTGTGGAGCCTGGGCTGTCTACAGAGATCGCGTTTCTTTACAGTGTGTTCAGGGGACAGGCAGCCAGCGGATAGTGAGGAGATGTTTGCTGTATGTGACAAAAAATGTTTTGGCCTAAAAAACGCGTGACATCGCTTAGAGCACCTTTAAGGCATGAATAAAAAAAAATTCACAGGGAAAAACATTTAAATACGTCATTTTGGTGATCAAAGATGAGTTTTAAGGGATCAAATTATTGATTACAGGGGGACTTTAAATATTTGGTAACAATTGTAATGGACGTATTACACTGAGCATCACAAAATCATGTACAAGGATGTTACATAAGGATCCCCTATGCTCTGACTCCATATTGTTGTGTCTGACTGCCTGAGCTGCACTCTGACTAGACTATATAAGGTGGACAGGGTTCCCCCTCCTGACCCTGTGTGCTTTATGTTCACCCACCCCCCAGCATCCGGAGGAGCGCACAAAGGCTGCCTCTGATTGAGATAAGTACCTTTGTCTCCAGGGACCAATGAATCCTAACAGTCTGCATTAAAGCTAAAAGACACAACTTGCCCTTAATGCGCAGTTTTCCTTCCTAGGCTGTCCAGCTAACGGATGGATGTGGATCCGAATTGATCGCACACACAGCCAGATATACAGTATCTCTAGATTTCATGGTTCCTTTATATTCAATATTGAGTTTTCCATACAGAGTCG